CGGCAGCACATCGGCACCCCCTGCATCATCCATGCCACCACCTCCACCACCACCCATGCCGCCTCCCCGCAGCCGCGCCGTCCTCCCCGTGACGCCCGACGCAGCCGCGCCACCTCCCCATGGTCTTGTCGGCATCCCTACGCCGTCCTCCCTGAGCTGGATCAGAGTTGGGGGAGAGAGGAGAAAAGCTCACCGGAACCCTAGATCCAGGAGGAGGAGGGCCTACCTCGTTGGGGTCACCGCGCCACTGGATCCGCACGCCGCCACGTCGGGGTTGCCGCACCAGGGCCCGTCTGTGCCAGCGCTGCCGCGCCTAGGGTCGCTGTGCCGGGCCACTGCGCCAAGGGCCTCCCACCGCCGTCCATGGCGCGTCCGCGCCGCCACGCCGCCGAGAAAGGAGGGGGCGTCGGATCCGACGAGGGGGGGCCACCGGGGAAGGAGGGGGCACCGGATCCGCGCCGCCACGTCGCCGAGAAAGGAGGGGGCGCCGGATCCAGGGAGAGGGCATCAGATCCGGCGAGGGGGCGACGGATTCGGCTAGGGGGGCCGTCGGGGAAGGAGGAGGCCACCGGGGAAAGGAGGGGCCGCCAGGGAAGGAGGGGCCGCCGGGGAAAGGAGGGGCGGCGGATCCGGCGAGGGGGCCACCAGGGAAAGGAGGAACGGCCGGGAGAGGAGGAGAGGGAGGCGGCGCTGACGGGGGGAGGGGCGCTGGGGGCCGGGAGGAGAGGGGGCGCCTGGGGGCCGGGAAGAGAGGGGAAGAGGGGGCGCTGACGGGTGTTTGGGGGTGGCAGCTGGTGGGTTAGGGTTAGCACTTCTTTGTTTTTTTATTTATTTTATTAATAACATTTTTCTGTGCGTGCATATGTTTTTTCAGTGCGTTTCAAAAAAATCGACAGAATAAATTGTATTTTTCTGTGAGTGCTTATTTTTTCGTGTGTCTATTGTCACGCACAGAAAAATCATACAATTATTCTTAGGGTTTTCGTATTTTTCTGTCGGGATATTTTGGAACCGACAGAATAATCATAATTTTTCTGTGCGTACTGAAAAAAAACGCACAGAAAAATTCGTCACCCACAGGGCAATTCGAGTTTCCAGTAGTGGTTCACCGTGATGATCTGTCGACGTGTACATTAATCGGTGTATTTTACGTGGTGGATGTGTATGCGTCATACCTGGATGTGAAGGCATGTAAATAAGGCCTTGTTTAGTTCCTCCCGTAAAGTTTACTCTTTATCTCATTAAATGTTTGACACATGTATGGAGTATTAAATATAGACTAAAAAATAACTAATTATACAGTTTACGACTAATTTGCGAGATGAATTTTTTAAGCCTAATTAGTCTATGATTTGACAATGTAGTGCTACAGTACACATGTGCTCATGGCGGGTTGATTAGGCTCAATAAATCCGTCTCGCGGATTATTGATAGATTCTGTAATTTATTTTTTTATTAGTATCCGAACATCCAATACGACACGCCTATATAACACCTGATATGACACCCTAAAACTTTAGAGCTTAGATTTAAACAAGATCTAAGGCCTAGTTTAGATTGCAAGTTTTTTCACTCTCTCCATCACATCAAATCTTTAGACACATGCATGGAGTATTAAATGTAGATAAAAAAAATAACTAATTACACAGTTTGATTGTAAATTACAAGACGAATCTTTTAAGCCTAATTAGTCCATGATTGGACAATAATTGTCAAATGTAAACGAAAGTGCTACAGTGCCAAATACTGGTTCCAGCAGCCATCTAAACAAGGCTAAATTGACGTTTGCTCTCATGTACACGTATCCCACTGTCCAATCAGCATTATTTGTCGTCGCTGTCGAAAGGAAAAGGGCACAAAAGGCTCCTCTCTTGAAGAAAATATCATTGGCTCACTAGATACCGAGGCTGGTCAAGGTTCACCCAAACACAGCAAATCATAAACATCAAAATCCCTCGAATAAGAAATTTTAGAAATATAATAGTTCGGGCACTTTCTTCGTCAACATGGGAATTCGAAACAAAGACTAGCCTCTTCAACAAGGGAAGTGAAGTCTACCTATGCTAAAGAGCAAGTTTAATATTTAGTTCGAGTAGCCAGCCCATTTTTAGGAGTGGCTTATTATAGTATTCTGAAAAATCATACGAACAAATAAAGCCTATTTTAGGAGTCCACCATATCAAGGGAGAGGGGGATCAGGCTTGACCTTCGCTTTGCTTTTGAATCTTGATTTCTTTGCTTTTGAGTGACTTGACGGGTCTGGATAATAACAAGAAGAGTCAAGGTAGCGAAAGTAGCTATACTCTAGTAGCTGGCAGGGCTAGTGCTAGTGGTGAAGGAAATCGAATGGTAGAAAAGACACGGATTCAGACTTCTTTTTTCAAATAGCCCTTGGTGGTATGCAGATTCATTGAACGAAGAAGGCAGTCTTTCTTCCTCACAGAATAAGATCGGAGCACCCAAGGTTATATATTTGTACTATGCCTTGTCTATTTACACTGTTATAGGTATAATTGTATTGTCATGTTTGAACATCCACTAAAGGCAGAGCTGAAGAATTTTTTTGTCCCGACATAACAAGTTCATGTTGTCTCCAAGCGCGTAGCTCAGATGATATAGGTTACTTGTGGTGGCCTGTCCACCAGGATTTAAATTTTTGACGACTTTGTCTTGGGTGCTTTCATTTTCTGTATTTATTTCAATATTTGAAGATGTATTATTTTAGAGTAGATGATGTACTCATCGACAACGAGATACATGTAGTGACTTTGTCAATTCTTTATGTGTCCGTGTAGTCCTTCACAAGTTACTTCAAAATGTAAACATATTGTGAATAGAAAAAAACCTAAATTTTTTTTATTTTGGGACAAATTTTAGCACATTATAGGGTCAAGGGAGTAATTGTTATTCATTGTCAGCCGTTTCCAATGTACAAAGGAATCCTTGGGGCCCAGCGCATGCATGCATGTGACGCAGTTGGAATCATACATAAATATTCAGCGATGGGTGACCACAATCTCTAGCGAGATTACGGGAAGAAAGAGTCAAAGTCTCCTACAGATTTAGGCCTCGTTCGGTTCACGGGATTTTCACGGAAAATCAAAGGAAATAAAAACGGAGGAAAGGATCGGTGGTAGAGCGTTTAGAACGGAGGAAATAGCAAACTCTTTCCTTAGGAATACTGTAGCTAGATACCGATTTCATAGGAAAAATCAAATCCAGTCCGATCGCTTGTTTTCTCTTCCTTTGCGGAAGCCCGAGGCAATTCGCCCGTCTCACGCCAGCAAGAGAGGATTTTTTGTTATAAATTCCTATGTTATAAATTCCAGTGTTTCAAACAACCTAAATTTTCTGTTCCTGTGTTTTGAAATCCCGTAGTTTTTCACTTTTCATCATACCTTATTCATGCGTTTTTTACTATCCCTGCGTTTTAGATTGCTTCGTTCCAAACATGCCCTCGTGGAATCAGTGCAGGGAGATTACTACTATCTTGCTTGTTTCTCTCTCGGCGTCGTTGCTAGTGGGGGTGTGGCCTATGCCTATCTATCTCAATGTGCTTGCATGTGTCACCACTCACCACTCTGCTCCTCGCACTGTATATGCCTGGATCGGGAATTCGGGATGTTGCATGCCATGTTCTTTTGCAGCAGCAGCTGTCTCCACATGTTGCTAGTACTACGTTTCAGTTTAGCCGGTCTGGGTACACCAGTACAGTACTGTAACAGTGTGCCACTCGCGGGCCCCACCGCTGTGCTGCCGTGCGCAAGTGATGAGTGTAGGACGACGTGGCGAGGGCCCTGCACCGCACGCCCACTAGCTGAGGTGTCGGTCGGCTGCGACCCTCCTGCCACACACCGCCTCGCGCTCGTCTGTGGAGGCGGCGTGGATAGCTCGGTACCACCACGTGGCCGTGAAGAGAAGAACTTGGAGACCAAGGTAGCCGGACCCGTACGCCGGCGGACCCGGTCCATGCGCCGGTGCCCAGCCCCCACATGCACCCTGCCGCAAAATCAGGCAATCACACGGGTGGCAAAAATCTGGAAAGATTTTCCATCTGCACGGCACGGCATGATGCCATCACCCATCCGTTACGGCCGCGAAGAGTCGAAGACCGTGAAATTTCCCCGCGGAGAGCCAGAGCCAGAGCCCAGAGGGGGAAGAAGAGTCGTGGAGATGCTAAATGCACGCGCGATCTGCGCAACTGAACCGGCCGACAAGTGGGACCACCCAAGTCCCTAATCGCGAACCGATGGCAACATAAATCATAAATCATTTTTAAGGTCGCTGGGCTGTCAAGCTAGTCAAAATGCCCAAAGACAGTCGGGGGCGGCGGACGACTCACGAGTCACGACCCAACACAACGCTGCTGGCCCGGCCTCCGACGATTATTAACCCAGTCGCAGTCGGTCCACAGACACAGTCCACCCGCCCCAGATCATCCCTGCGGCCCAGATAGCCCGCTTCCAGGAAACTTCCTTCGCTGCGCTGCACGGGCACCCCCTCCGTGCACCGAGGCCTATCCGCGCCGTCCCGCGTGAGATCGCACGCCGCAGAGCGTGGACGGGGCGCACGGGCCCGGGCCCGGGCCCCTGGCGCGCGGGCCTGGGTGTCGACATTCCTGCCCGCATCCATGTGTTGTGTTGATACAAAAGCCCGGGTCCGGCCACCTCTCTGCGCTGCGCCTGTTCCTCTTATCCTCCCCTCTCGCGCGTCTCGGGTCTCTCTTCTTTCTCTCGCCTTCATCCTGGTCCGGGGTCGCCCGCGGTCGCACGCAGGTATGCGCCCTTGACGAGCTCGCGCATCTCCACGAGTGCGCTACGTACGCCCACTGATCCGTCGGATTAGTCAGCGCGTTTCAACTCGTGGGCATGGATACCTGATACCTCCTTTGCCTCCAGTTCTGATTCTTCTCGTTGTATTTCTGTGCATCCGCCAGGTCGCGGGCACTAGTGCATTTTTATACGCGGCGCTGCTGGTTTTGGGGCGCGGAGTCCACATCGATGGTCATGGACGCTGGCCTGCACGAGCCGTGCGCGCTGCTGCCGGGATCCAAGCGCGACGGCCACATGCCAATCTACCCCCAAATCGCCGCCGCCGCCGCAAATGGGTTCACGGCGGAGGAGCTCGAGTCGCTGCTGTTCCTGTCGCCTGATGGGATTGCTTCGGCTGCGGGCGGCGTTGGCGGCAGCTATCTGAATGTCGCGCCTACTACTGTGGTTCCGCCCGCCCGCACCAACCGCGCGTCGCCGCCGCGGGATGCGTCCGCCGCGCCGCCCTCGGTGGCGCAGCCGGACGATTCGGAGGCGTTCTCGGACATCGTGCTGGGCTACATCAACCGCATGCTCATGGCCGAGGACATCGACGATAAGTTCGAGCACTACCCGGAGCACCCAGCGCTGCTCGCCGCCGAGAAGCCGTTCCTCGAGATCCTCGCCGAACGGCCCTCGAGCTCCGGCGGCAGCGCGGTTGAGAGCCCCGGCGGCAGCAGTGTCGGCAACTCCTGCTACAGCGCGGGCTCCTGCACCTGCGCCACCGCCACGGCGGCGTCGGATGCCTTCGGCGCCGTGCTGACGCCGGCGCTTGACTTCACATCGACCGCGTTCCTGCAGCCGCCACAGCTGTATCAGGATCTAAGCCCTGAGAGCAGCGTGGTGGAAGCAGGCGGCGCGTGGCCGTACGACTCGACGGAATTCTACCAGCTGCAGAGCAACCTGCTCTCGCAGTCCTCGTCATTCGCGTCATCCAACGGCAGCGGTGTTACATTATCAGATGGCTTTGAGTCGTTGCTGAGCTCGCCTGGTGTCATGCCGGATGTTGGCTTCACCGATTTTGCGGTGCAGAGCCAGCAGGCTATGCAGTTCTGCCGCGGGCTTGAAGAAGCAAGCAAGTTTCTGCCTGACGAGAGTAAGCTGGTGATTGATCTTGAGAAGCCAGCATCTGTTACAAGCTTGTTGGCTAACATCAAAGGGGAGAACAGGTTTGCAGAGGTCAAGACAGAGAAGGCTGATGTTGAGGCAGCAATTCACAGAGGAAAGAAGCATTTCAATGGTGATGACTTGGATGCAGAGGAAGGGAGGTGCAGTAAACATTCAGCACCAGCTATTGACACTGATCACCTTGTGCGGGAGATGATGGACAAGGTCTTGTTGTGCAATGGTGAGATGTGTTCAAAAGGCGTCAAGGAGCTGCGTGAAGCCCTGCAGCATGACGTCGCAAAGAATTCGCATGGGGTTCATGGAAAAGGGTCCGGACATGGCAAGGGCCGTGGCAAGAAACAGCCGAAGAAGGAGGTGGTTGACTTGGAGACTCTCCTCGTCCACTGTGCTCAGTCTGTGGCCACCGATGATCGACGTGGTGCAACTGAGCTCCTGAAGCAGATCAGACAGCATGCATCGCCCAATGGTGATGGTGACCAGCGTTTGGCGCACTGCTTCGCCAATGGCCTTGAGGCGAGGCTTGCTGGTAATGGAAGTCAGATTTACAAGTCTGTTATAATGACGAGGTTTCCCTGCACAGATGTGCTGAAAGCCTACCAGCTTTATTTGGCAGCTTGTCCATTCAAGAAGATCTTTCATTTCTTTGCCAATCAAACCATTATGAATGCCGTGGAGAAGGTGAAGAAAGTTCACATTGTCGACTACGGTATATACTATGGCTTTCAGTGGCCGTGCCTCATTCAACGGCTCTCTACCAGGCGTGGTGGCCCTCCAAGACTCCGGATCACTGGAATTGACACACCACACCCTGGTTTTCGCCCAGCAGAGCGCATAGAGGAGACAGGAAGGTATCTAAAAGATTATGCTCAGACCTTCAATGTGCCCTTTGAGTTCCGAGCCATTCCATCTAGGTTTGAGGCGGTTCAGATAGAGGATCTCCACATTGAGAAGGATGAGCTGCTGATTGTCAACAGCATGTTCAAATTCAAGACACTGATGGACGAGAGCGTGGTGGCTGAGAGTCCAAGGAACATGGTCTTGAACACAATCAGGAAGATGAACCCACATTTGTTCATTCATGGGATTGTCAATGGCTCTTACAATGCACCATTCTTCGTGTCTCGCTTCCGAGAGGCCTTATACCACTACTCTGCTGTCTTTGACATGCTGGAGACAAACATTCCGAGGGACAACGAGCAGAGGCTGCTTATCGAGTCAGCTCTGTTCGGTCGAGAGGCAATCAATGTAATCTCCTGCGAGGGTCTGGAAAGGATGGAGAGGCCTGAGACATACAAGCAATGGCAGGTGATGAATCAGAGAGCTGGGTTCAAGCAGCTCCCAATCAACCAGGACATCATGAAGCGTGCTCGGGAGAAGGTTAGGTGCTACCACAAGGACTTCATCATCGACGAAGACAACAGGTGGTTACTGCAAGGGTGGAAAGGGCGCATCATACTGGCGCTCTCAACATGGAAGCCAGATCACAAATCTTCTTCCTAGCTCCTTGTGCTTACATGACCGCAGAGAACTGTAAATGAAGACCTGTTCGTGGATGCTTGGGCTGATTGTTCCTGGACTGCAACATATAGCTATGCTATGCTATTTGAACTACTACTACTATATAGTGATGCGATCAAGGGTCCCTGCATGTTAGGTTATGGCCGTTATGGTTTAGTTTTGGACAGGAACAATTAGTGCATTCTTTGATGGAGCAGGCTAGGTATGTTAGTTACGCGGTAGACCTAGGGTTGTTTCATGCATGGATCAGTCTTATGGAATCTTGTATTATATTTGTTCCCCATTAACCAGTGCTGTCAAAGTTTTGGGTTTGTTTGGGTTTTTTTTTTCCTCGCTCTACAAACTTCCGTGCACCTCCATGAGCTACTGGCCAGTGCCGAGTTAGGCAAGTGAAGCCATCGTGGCCCGATCAACTTTCCAGTCCTTCTCTGAGCAGGTGAGCAGATCTAGCTGGTTCTGTAACTTTCTTGTGTTGGTGGAACAAAACACAACTATGTGAGGAAACTGACCATTGGGAGTGTTCAGACTTGCAGCTATCTGCTACCCTCGAAGCTGAAATGCAGTGATGGCGGCCTGCATGATTGTATCTGGAACCATAAGACCACACGTCGCGCAAACTGCAAAAGAAGACAACATCTCAGCTAGAAAGGTCCAAATCGCTACTCACATCATACTGATATACATTTGGAAACTCTGAATTCCTGGAAATGCTTAAGGACCTCTTCGATAATGTGGCATATTACAAAACTTTGGACATGCAGATGCTCTGTTCGCTTGGCTGATAAGCCATGACTGAAAGTATTGTTGGCTGATTTGTTGTGAGAGAAAAATACTGATTCGTTGGCTGAAAAAATACAGTAAGCCAAACGAACAGAGCGGACGCGGAGATGACAGTGGAGGATTGGGTTTAGGCGTCGCGGATGCCGATCGATCGCCCACGTACAGTGGACATCACTTTTAATGTGAAAAGCCCAGCGTATCTGCCGGACTGGAGCAGCCCACCTCTGCCGTATTGCATCGCCGTTGTGTGCTCGTCATGAACAGTGGAGGCAAGATCGGCGAAGAACACCCCGAAAATCCTAACAGCGATAGTTAGTGCAGCGAGCGAATCTTTAAAGGGAAAATCCTCGTAAATACAGTACACAGGACAATCTTTTTCTTTCTTCTTTTTGAAAGAAAAAAACACGAAACATATTGGTGGTATCAGATGTGGCTTGCAGCAACTACACACCAAGAAGAATCCATATCCAACACAACACTTATCAGCAATCGCGGCAGAAAGTTACGGCAGCTCGGTGATAGCGGTTAGGGACAAGGCAGGTCGCCCTCGCCGCTGGCGGGAACGAACCGGGCGCAGGTCACGAGTCACGACGCCGGATAGAGGCCTCCGGATATAGCGGCTACCGACGTACTAGTAGCGCACGCCCTGAGCGCCGCGCTGGTGGGCCAAATAAGATGCCGTTCACACTAGGTCAGCAGATGCATTCAGGTTCAGTGAACCTGAAGATTGCGGAGGGATCACATCTGCTGCCCCGGCCACGAGTGAGCGAATCAAACAGGAGATTCTAGGACAGGCAGAGTTTTCTACGATTCCACTAGATTTCGTGATTCTACTTCTACTTATATAGGAGTATATACATGGGCATGTGGCCCAGTTTTGGTTCGTTGTCGTGAACTTTGACTGTGTATGCAGGCACGTATGCGATCGGAACATGGGCACACAGGTGACGGTTGCGTAATATGCCAATCCTGCACTACATGGAAGATACTCGAAGTACCATCCAGCTTGTGGCAAGAAGCTTAGAACGTAAAGATATCTGATACTCCCTCAATCTCAAAAAAAATATATATGAATCTAGTTTCCCGATGAGTAAAAAAGAATCTTAAATTCCACTAGATTTATACATAAAAAATATTAATATTTATATTTTCAAATGTATTTATTATGCAAATGTATTCCATGCTTTGTCTAGTGACTAGTGATACTTATTATGCTTCATAAATATTAGTATATTTTTATATGTGTTTAGTTAAACTTTGTTTGACTCCTTGAGAAGCGAGAGTTACATTTTTTTAGACCAAGAAAGTATATATGATTATGTGAATATTGCCTCTGGAACAAAATATAGCTGATGTATTCTGTTGTAGTATCGTCCTTAGTTTGTTTTTGTCATGATATGATTTTAGATCCACAGTTTCATCTAAAACCTGGGAGAGAGAGGGCATAGTGATGACCAAAAAGAGCTGAATTGTGACCTCTGGCAAATACAAGCAGGCAGTTCGAGCTGAACTTGGGGTTTCGTGTAGAATTCCACTTGTAACAACTCCAAGCGTGATAATTCTACCTCACCTTATAAATATAAAAAACTGCAGTCAATTAAGAGTATTTGATCGATCAAATACGATCAATCTACTGTTATTACCTTCTTCAAACCCTAAGTTTTCCGACCTAAAAAATTATTGTTCTACAAGCATTTTGACACTATTTATGGGTAAGGTGAATGTGAAGAATGTGACTCATCTCGACCATTTATTGAGTCACATCTATTCGGTGTGACTCATCTTGTCAGTGACTTAGTTTAAAGACATGTGTCATCAAGCTCTTTGATGACATTGTCTTCGGCCCGGGTGTCCAGGTGTCGCCGGTGGCTCAGTTGGTGGAGGAGTCCCAGGTGGAGGAGATCTCTGATAGGGTGACCAGGATGGACATCGACGGCACCCCTAGGTCAGGTATGATACTCGAGGCTGCTGGTGGGGCAGCAGAGCTTCTTTATGCTGCGGGAGGACTGGGCAGTGAGGCCACGGGTGGAGGACGGTGGGCGCGGCGTGGGTTGGGGCATCGGCGGCCAAGGTCCGTCCGTCTCGTCTGACTTTTTTGCAAGGCGATCTTCAAGGACACTCTTGCACCGCTCCTTCCGAGGCGGACACCCCTGCACCGCCGAGGGCGAGCAGAGCCGCATAGCGGTGATAGTGGCCACCGCACCCGATCTTAGGCAAAGCTGCCCGACCTTCGCCCAGTCTGCCGGTCTCGCAGAGGGCGCAGCGGAAGCTCATGAGGGAGCTCCAGTTCATAGACACACCTGCAACACCTCCTGATTCGGCGGCCACGGAGTACATTGATCTGTATGGGCAGGACCTACCAGACCAGGCTGTTGACACCATCGTAGGCTGCCGCTAGGTTTGGGCAACAAGAAGTCAGCCAAAGTCCTTGCAGCCTTTGGCGGGTGAGGCAGTCTTTGCAGAGATGGAGGTCCCATGAGGAGCCAGTACAACAAGGAGAAGAAGAAGATGAGAGTTCCTGCTGTTTCCAATGTTGTGTAGCTTTGTGTTAGTGCCAGCAGCAACCGGCCTTAAGCTGGTAGAGTTAGTTTCCTTTCAAGAAATGTTGTTTCGTGTTAGAACTGATGGTGGGCTGGGGTTCAAGCTCCTGGGTGGTACTGTAGGAGGAGCGCTCCATAATGATCTGATGAGTGATGGTGTAAGCTTCTATGTTAAGTCTGTAGCAAGAAAGTTTCGCTTCTTGCCTCTTCATGTGCATTTTGCACAGGGTGGTCTTTGGGGTTGATCAACGTAACTGCTTTGCTCTTCATATGTCAATGAATAACAACGAACTAAAATTTCTAAATTAGAATGTGAGGGGCTCAACAGTCTTTGCAAGAAGAGAGGCGCATCAAGCTACTAATCCAAAGCAAGCAAGGCCACACATTGTCTCGCCTCCGGAGAGTAAATTAAGCAACATAAACTCTTTTTTGCAAGTTGAATTCCTAGGACAAAGATGGATGGGGTTTGGAATACATCGAGGCTGATGAAACAAGGGGGTATTATTGTTGCTTGGAATGATGACTTCATTGTGGCAACCCAGACCGGTCAAGAAACCTCACACACCTAACTTTGAGATTGACTATGAAATTAACCAACACCTCTTTTATATTGACAATCGTATATGGTCCGACCGAGCATAGCGCAAAGAATGGCTTCCTATCGAATCGATCAAATTGTCGACCGCGCAAAGTACTCCATGGATCTCGCCTTGGGGATTTCAATTTGATCTGTGATGCTAGTGACAAGAATAATGGTAATATAAATCGTACTCACATGAGAAAGTTCAGGAGGGCGCTAGACGCAAGCGGGTTGTTTGAGCTTAGATTGTTGAATCGACGATACACCTGGAGTAATGGGAGAGCCTCATCAACGCTGGTTCACCTGGACCAAGTATTTTGTAACCATGACTGGTCCAACCTTTTCCCGGAGATTGGCCTACAAGCTCTCTCGAGTTCCCTCTCCGATCACTGTCCGTTATTCTTATGTAGCCAAAACAACAACCGAGGAAAGCTACTTTCAGATTTGAACATTTCTGGATAAGGATCCAAGATTTTAATGAAGTGGTCTCGCAAGCCTAGGCCAAACCTATTGCTGGCATCAACCCAATGATGAGACTACACAATCGCCTGAGGCTAACCGCTTTTGATCTGAAATCTTGGAGCAAATCTCTTTTCATCAACGCACGATTGCAACTCAACTTGGCAAACGAAGCAATTCTTCGCCTGGAAATCGCTCAGGAAACCAGACAACTCTCAGAGACAGAACTGAATCTTTTGAAGGACCTAAAACACCAAGTGCTGGGGTGGGCGGCGATTGAAAGGTCAAGACGACGACAGTGTTCGCGGCTGACCCAAATAAGAGAGGGAGATGCGTGCACAAAATTCTTCCATCAACGTGTTAACGGAAGGCGAAAGCGAAACCTCATTGCTTACCTCAAAAACCAGGAAAATGTAATCGTCTGGAGCCATGAGGAAAAGGAAGAGATCTTGTACCGTTTCTACAATGACCTTTTGGGTACTAGGGTTGAGCGCATGCAAAGCATAGATTGGAACAACCTACAACTATGCAGGATTGAGGACAATGATTTAGACATGCCTTTCAATTTGAGGAAGAAGTGGAACATACCATCAAGATGCTCCCTGCAGAAAAGGCTCCGGGAC